TGAACCGGGCCAGGAATCCAGGGATGGGAGTAGCAGGCACAGAGGAAAAACTCCCAGGCTCTGTCCACAGCACTGTGGGAGGAACGATGTCTAGTGGCTAGAAAGGGGACGGGAACTCAGGACTTGTCTGTTCGGTCCCTGGTTGGTCAGTGACTCCCTGCGACGTCAGCAGTGCTGCAGGGGGAGAGCCCTCACCTGGCCTAGCAGGGTCGCTTCCCCACCAAATTAATTGCCAGGCAAAGAGCAGCGCTGTCCTTCAGCACGTCCTGTGCCCTGGGCAAGCCCCTCTGCCCGCAGTGGTGGGCAGAACTGAATGGCAGGGGGCCATTTGTTCCTATCCAATCCGTCTGTTTGACAAGCGGAACATGTCGTTTTATACAAAAGGGCTGCGTCTAGACTGGCAAGGTTTTCCGCAAAATCATCTGCTTTTGCGGAAAAACTTGCCAGCTGTCTACACTGGCTGCTTGAATTTCCGCAAGAACACGGACGATCTCATGTAAGATTGTCAGTGTTCTTGCGGAAATACTGTGCTGCTCCGGTGCAGGCAAAAGCCCTCTTGCGCAAATCATTTGCGCAAGAGGGCCGGTGTAGACAGCACAGTGCTGTTTTGCGCAAAAAATCCCCGATGGCTAAAATGGCAATCGGGGCTTTTTTGCGGAAAAGCGTCCGTGCCAATCTAGACGCGCTTTTCTGAAAATGCTTTTAATGGAAAACTTTTCCGTTAAAAGCATTTCCGGAAAATCATGCCAGTGTAGACGTAGCCAAGGGCTGCTCACTGGAAGCTGAATTGGTCTGAAAAACAACAGAGCGCTCATCGTTTTTAAAGGACTAGTGCTGCCAGAGCGGCAGCTTGAAAGCATCCAGTGACTGATTGCAGCTGGGCACCGTGTGCATGGCGGGGGAAGCCTTGTCCACCACGACAGAAAGACCCCAGAAAAGTTCCCCGTGTCATGGAGGCTGCCCTGGAAGTGCGTGAATGCTCCTATTAAATCTATGCCCTCCCCCTCGTCTCCTTTTCCCACTTCTCCCCTCCCTTTTTCTATCCCCCCCTCTGGGCCGGGTTTCTGGTCTTTATCTTAAGAATTTTACTTCAGTTGGATTTTTATAAACATATTTAATTGGCTGGGCAGCTAAACCCTGGAAATAACGGGTTTCAGGGTTAACCCTTCATGTTACAGCTCATGACACGTTTCCCCTAGAGCAGTGTCTCTCAACCTTTTTTTTTTTATAAAGTACCCCTTTAAAAAAAATTATAAGTACCCCCCACTACCTACAGTTTTCAGACACACAAAATTGGTTTTCTACCACTGCAACACATTTGTTTAAACAACTTAATCATTGCCAGGCGGGCGATGAAATGTTTGGGTGTAAAAAGTACAAAAATAATAACTCGCTGTAAAACTTAACTCAAAAATGCAGTTTTCTCCAAATGTCAGTTGTGCTGTTGTGCTCCCCAGACGTCTCTTGAGTAGGGTACTCGTACCACTCAGGGCCGGCTCGAGCCACTCCTGTGCCCCAGGCAGTGGGCACGGGATGCATACGTGGCCCCGCCCCGGGCGCACACGCGGACCCGACTCCCCTGGTGCACTGCACACCTTACAGCTGCAACCGGGTACGCAGTGCCTGATGGCAGCTCTAAGGGGTGCTGCGCGACCAGGCACACGGCGCCTCTTACAGCTGCCATCAGGCACCCCGGGCAGCTGCCCGGCTAGACCCCCCCTTAATCCGGCACTGGTACCACTGGTTGAGAAACACTGCCCTAGAGCGAGGGCGAGGTATCCAATAGCTAGGAGAGGAGGGGAAGCTGGGGCAGGCGTAGTTTTGTAGTCTGTGTTGGGTGTTTCTGTGCTTTCAAAAAGTTAAATAGAAAAAATATAAAACTTTAAAAAAGCTGAGACTAGGCAGCGCTCCAGTGTTGAGAGAAGTGCCGGGCTGTCAGCGTGGATTATCCGTGGGGGCCTGGCTGCAGGGAGGGTTAGCTCCCGGAGAATGCTCCCCCCAAACCAAAAACCCTCTGCTCATGCCACAAAGTTTATTACGTTGCATAAATATTTTGGTTCAGCTCCTTGGAACTCTGCAGGAGGACGGGCCCCTGGCCCGGACGGTTGCCATTTCGGATGAGTTACGCTTTGCAAACCCTGCATGATTCATCGTCAAGGGATCCACTTCAAAGGAGAAGCGGAGAGAGTACGGTCCAGGGGGTGGGGCGGAAACAAGGGATTTTAAAGGCTACGAGTAAAAGGTCAGGGAAGAGAAACAAACTCTTCCCAGCAGAGCACAATCCACCCAGGGCAGAACAAGGGGCAGCACGGAATCGGTTTCTTTTCTTCGTTTTGTTAATGACTCAGCTGCGTGTGGAAGAAGCAGCGAGAGGACTGGACTTGGACAGGTGTAGGGCCAACAGCTTCCCCCACACAATGCTCTGTTGATACGCCTCGATCCCATTCCACAACCTCCCGGCTAGCCCAGCCCTGGGCTGCCCACCCGCAGGCAGGGTGGCTGATGCACGTCATCAGCAGTGAATATTGAATCAGTGTCAGAGGTGCAGTCATGTTAGTCTGTAACTTTAAAAACAACAAGGGTCTTGTGGCCCGTTAGAGACCGACACACGTAGTAGGTCACGAGCTTTCGTGGGTAAAACCCACTTCATCAGAGGAGCTGGAGTGGAAATTCCAGAACCCAGGGCATATAGAACAGCAAAAGCAGCTACCGGTGTGAATGAAGCTAATCAAGTCAGGCTGGATGCATCTCAATCAAGGCAATTTCCCCACCTTTGGTATTCACGTGTCCACATCAAATGCTGTGCATGGGACACATCCAGCCTGATCTTAATTAGCTTCATTCACACAGGTCCTACGACTGACAGCTAACTGCTTTTGCTGTTCTATATGCCCTGGGTTCTGGAATTTCCACTCCAGCTCATCTGATGAAGTGGGTTTTACCCACAAAAGCTCATGCTCTAATACATTTATTAAATCAGTGGGTTCGCTAGCCACCGTGAACCCCTGCAATTGCGTGCTCGTTAGAAACAAATAGTTGAACCCCTTGTTACAAATGAACAGCAAAACTTTTGTGAAGGTCACTCGACTCCAGAGCAGGGACAGAAACAACCTCGGCGTTTTCAAAGGAAGATGTTTATGGATCAGGTCCCCTTTGACTTTCCTGCTTGGATCCAAATCCAGGTACCCGCATCTCCCTTGCAAAGGCCTCCCCGGAAAGCAAACCCCTGCACATCCTGCATTCCATCAGCGTCTCCATCTCCTGCCCTCCATCCTGCTCTGTGTGCACCCAGGGCTACCGCTAGCCAGGTCCTGTCATACCGGTGCTGGTCCAGGGACAGGCACAGGTGGGAACGACCCAGAGCAGAAGGAACACATGTGTTTAGATTCCCGGGCTGCGGGGTGACTGTCTTCCCTCTCCTTTCAGTGCGGGCCAATCTGATCCCAAGCCCCCCCACCTATAACTCGGCTTACGGATACATCAGCTGGGAGTCCTATGCCAACGTGAGCTATTTCACCCGGGTCCTTCCACCTGTACCGGAGGACTGCCCGACTCCTATGGGAACCAGCGGTAAGCGGTGTTTAGATTCCCGGGCTGCGGGGTGACTGTCTTCCCTCTCCTTTCAGTGCGGGCCAATCTGATCCCAAGCCCCCCCACCTATAACTCGGCTTACGGATACATCAGCTGGGAGTCCTATGCCAACGTGAGCTATTTCACCCGGGTCCTTCCACCTGTACCGGAGGACTGCCCGACTCCTATGGGAACCAGCGGTAAGCGCCCGTGAGGTGTCGTTCACTCCCTTGCTTTCCCAGGGGTTCCCTGCCACGGAAGAACAGCTACTAAAAATCAAGGCCCCTTCGGGCCCCCGTCTGCACGGCGAGGGGGGTCCTAGGACAAGTCAAGGTTGCTCTGGTCGCCTGGAGGCCGGGCACCCGGCAGGCAGGGACTGCTCCAGCCCCCCTCTGCCTGCGCCCCCTTTATCAGTGAACCCCTGAAACGTACTGCTCATCCAGTTAAGCCATTAAAGGGGATTTTACATCCCTCCCTTCAGCCCTGGTTCTAATCCAGCCCAGCTGGATCGCCCCGAATCACCC